TTTGGTATTAATGCACTACCACAACATCCATCACAATCCTTTCCATCTGTCATGACAAATAAGAAACATAAAATAATGTAAAAGTTAGATACTTGTGGTAGGCTGCTGTAAATAAGAACAATATTGGCAAGTAGCTGAACCACCAACTGGGAAGAAAATAATTGTTTGATTCTCACCCATCAAGTTGGTTCACTTCTTCCCAGAACTAGAAGTCTAGGATCAAAGGAGATCCTAACCCCAAATATACTGACATCAGGAAAACAAGAAAGCTGCTCCCAAACACAATGCAACAGAGTAAGATGCCAAAAGTGCTGTTAGGGACCCTGAAAATCAAAGTTAAAGAGCACCCTTGGAGTGCAGCAAGCTCTTCACTTTTGGGGGGAAAATAAAAATCTCTCCTCAGATTCTGACAGACTCACAGGGAAAAGTGTGTGTGGGGATGCCAAGCCCCAGCTGTCCTGTTGGGATACCTCATTTAGTAAAGGAGAAGCTGCAACCTGGCTCTCTGGAAGTCATGAGACTAGGGGAGAGAGTGCACACAGGTACATGAGGAATGACACTGGAGAAAGAGGAGACAGCAGCATTCACAGTACAGTTTTCACTGATTTCCCCACACACCTCCCTTCTCCCACAGAAATCTACTTTGGCACACTGTGACATCCTCTGAACCATCTGGGCTTTTCCCATAGCACCTTGTCCACAGTGCAGGTTCTGCCAGGACCTTACTTCTTCCACATGACCAGAACCCCACTTGGGACTCCAAAAGATAAAGTTTGTCTGGTGCAATGTCTTAAACCAAAACATCTGGGGAAGAACTTGCACAGGCAGCAAGCCTAAGACATGATTCCAAAAACATATCTATGTCCTGTCCCTACTTGCCTTCTACGCCCCATGTCCTGAAAAATCTTAACTTGTGCTCAGCATAGGATGAAGGAGCCACTCCACAGGCACCAAAAATTTATTATTTCTAAGCCATTTTCAGGCTGTAAACTCTTACAGCCAAGAAAACTGTGACATTACCTTTTCACAATGGGGCCATTAATTCTTCTGCAGAAAAGTAAAAACATGCAGTGGTATATTTGTGTTTTGTTTCTTTATAGAACTTGATGTCTTAAATTCTATTTCAAGTGCATGCATATGTAGTTACAATAATGAGAATTTAAAGAAATTAATAAAAAAATAATGTACAACCAACACAGAAATATCCTAAAACCTCAAGATTTATGGATCCTTTTATAAATGTTCATCTAACTAAACAGTAGCAAAATCATGCATGGGTGGACTCCTGTCCCAAATGTAGGTTTATTATAAGTTCAAGAAGAGGTAGAAAAAACATTGAGAAACTTGATTCATTTCTTGGCAGGTAAGGAAGAAATGAACATGATTTAGTAAAGCTTTATTTTGACATACTGTCTTGGGGACTCGGTTTTATATTCATGTTATTATCAAGTCAGAAGTCCTCAACATCAAGGCAGATTTTCAGAAGTTACACTGTGGGAAAAATATTACTGTTCATTCTAACACTGCTGAGTGTAACTGTTGAAAGCAAAACTTTGTTTGGGAGCTCTCTGAAGAGAGACTCCCCTCTTCCTGTGCAGAAGAAGATGATTTCCACATGTGCCTACTTCTCCACGGCACAAATAAATACAGGGCAAAGGCAACATCTCCAGTGATGTTTGAATCTTGTTAGACTTTGCTGTCACTACGAACATTCTTCAGGAATTTCATACTCTTAATGCAAATACACAAAACATTTATGACTGCATTTCACTAAGTCAGTTAATTGGTGCCTATAAAAAACATACATTGCAAAAGGAAAGCATCAAAATGTCAAAATCTTTTTCCTTAACAAGCACACCTTAAATAGAAGGATGACTTTTCTTTCTTTGCAATTTAGTTTTAGATTATATTACACAATATATCATTGTGACTGACAGTAGTTAACATTTAGATATTGTTGATCTATGTGATGTGTCAGGTTACAAAAGCCTCCCAAAGAAAGCAAGAAAATACTTCTACACAGTCAATGCAACCCAAGTAGTCAATCTGCCCTGTGAATACATAAGTATGGTATTAGCTAATGTTCTAAATTAATATGTAGTAAATTTCCTGGGATGGTTGCTTGAAACATAAATCTTCCTGGCTGACAGATAATATTAATAACCTAAATTTTCAACCAAGCGAAGTTATAAATCTTTCAATGCTTTGCTTGAATTACATTCCATAGACCTAACTCCAGAAGTTTCACTATCTTTTAGGATTAAGCCATTATAATTCCAGACCCCACAGATTTCCACATGGTATGGCTGGTGACCATAAGAACTAGCTGGATCTCTTTCTAATCTGTTTTCAAGGTATAAAGTTGCACACTGGGTATAAATAACATGAGATCATAGGTCTAGCATAGGTTTTTACATTCTCTGCCCTCTGCTCTTATCTCTGTGATTAACAGATTAAAAATTAATGTTTTAATAAAAACACTTATTTAAAGATTTTCAGTTTCCTATATAAAAAGGTTTTTACAGGAATGCACATAAAATCAGTCTTTAGATTTGGGACTGCTAGGAATATAAAATCTGATTATGCAACAGAGAAGGTAAAACACCAAGTCACATTAGCTCCATAAAGATCTTAATGGAAATAAAATGTTTGCTTCTGTTAGGACAAATACAATGTTTCTGCTATTGCAAAAAGAGCTATGTGTGCAATGGAATAAGGAAACGAGGAGAGATGAACAAGATAAACATCAGAAGATCTCTAGGAACACAGAAAATTCAAATACAGTTTAGATTCTCTAATGCTAAAAGAAAAGAGGCCCAAGAACATAAAAACTTCAGTGGGAAGGGGGGGAGTCATAGAACAATTAAAGAAATCTTCCAATTTCATTATCTACAGCATTACCTAAACACAACCTGCAGGTAAAAGAATCCTTCCCATTTGAAAGCAAACCAACAAACAAAATGACCCATACCTCAAACAAAACCAAAAACCTCCATCAAGCAGAACATGCATAACAGTATTCCAATTTATCCAATCCCAGTCTACTGGGATTTCAGGGCAACTTCAGAAGAATTCATTCAACAAAAACTTTTAACTAAGCACCAGTGAGGTGAGATGGAAAGTCCAGGTACAAACAAAGAGGCGATCAAAAATTAAGAGAGGAACAAGAAGCAACCATCTGTTCCAACCTGAAAGGAGGTTACTGCAAATTCACCAACACTGCACTGGTAAGTAACATTCAGAAGTGATTGAAAAACAACAGCAAGTTTTAACCATGTTTACTCAGTAAAGAGATTTGCAGTGTAGTAGAAACAAGAGTTGGCAAACATGAACTGACAGAAACATCATATGAGACTGAGTATCTATGTAAGAAGAAAGCTATATTCAAAACTGCTATGCATACAGGGAGGTCCATGGTGGAAAGCAACTCTGGAACTTATAGAAGATGATGGGCACTAAACTAACTAGCATTATTCACAATATTGTCCTGTGAGATCACACCAGGCTATTTAGGGCTTTTTTTGAGGCATCTTAATACTTTCCAAAGTTTGACAAACCCTGCACAGCCTTCCTGGGCAACCACCACTGTCTGCCTGTCTTTATAGGAAAAAATGCTTCTTTATATCCAGGCTTCATCTTCCTTATCTCAATGACTCCTTATTGCCTCTCATCTTCCCAGTATGCACTGCTCTAAAAAGCCTGGCTCAAGTACATCAGAAATCTCCATGACTGCAAAAATGAGAAAGAGTTGACCTGCTAAAACTTCTTTCCACTGTCTCTCCTCACCACTGGACACAGCTCAATGTGTCCTGTGGACTTCTGTTTGGACTTCTGGACTTCTGTTTGGACTTCTGGACTTCAAGTTTGTTCAAGTAATCTCTCACTCAAATTCTTGTTCAGAGTTCCCTCAACTATGCACAGGTCTGAAGTCTTTGAGAACTCACTGGTAAAGACTATCTCATCTGCTCTATTCAGCAACATTCTCCTCACTCAGCCCTTTATGCCCAGTATAACATTAAAACCTTTTCTTGTTACCCTAGACAACCTTTTGGCACCAACTCAGGTCAGCTTTCACTTTACTAATACCATCCCTTCATGCCTGGGCAACATCCCCAGTCTCCTCAGTAGCCCATCTCTGCTTCCAGATCCTGCACACTGCCTGCTTGGCAGTGAAGCTTGGCTATGAGCTCCCTGAGAGAAGAACAGACCCCTCTGGCAATCAGGGAATGCTGTTAGCTTTCCTAAGCATCTCTGCACTTCCACCTACGGAACCCCAGATACCAACTCCTAGAAGAAGACAAAGTCTGCTCTCCTGAACTGGGTCTGGGTCCTGTTACTCCTTTCTTGCTCCCAGCAGCATCTTGAACTCTACTATTTCATGGTTGCTACAGTCAAGAAAATCCACATTACTCCACCTTCAGTTCTTCCATTTTCAGGGAACATCAGATTCAGCTTTGCATCACCCCTAGTTGGCCCATCAGTGCTCATACCAAGAAGCTCTTCCTCATAACTTCAGAAATCTAGTTTGCTTGTGTCCTGCTGTGTTGGACCCAGCAAGGGTCAGGATGTTTACTGAAGTTTCCCATGGGAACCACAGACTGTAATCCAGAGACTTCTGTGCCTTTCAAAAAGGTTGCATATACATCCTCATCCTGAGGAGGGTAGTCTGTCGCAGACACAATTGTCACTGATGTCAGCATGAGCTGCATACACCCAAGATCTTCAGAGAGTCAACTCTTTGTCTTCAACAACTTCTTAATAAAAAACATTTTGAAACTTCTCTTATATATGCTACTAACACATTCTACACTTCAATCTGACTTACAGATAGACACATTAGAAGATGCAATAAATAAATAAATAATGTGCAAAAACATCTCATGCAGTGGCCTAAACTTCCCAGGAAAAGAGATTATTTTAAATTATTCACTTAAAATGAGCTGACTCACCTCCCAACAGATACAATGAAGAATGCACACAGCTAACTGAAGAGTGCTTACCTGAATGACAGCACTAAACCAGCACGTGTTGCCAACATTCTTTAATCCTACTGGGCAGTTGTCTTGCCGCTTTCGATCATAAGGGTTTGGAGAGTCACTCCACACCTCTGGATGCGTCCTCTTTAAACTCGCTTTATTTTCTGCAATACTGGCTTCTAGAACTCTTTGAGAACAGAAGGGAGGGAAAAATGTGAGAAAAAAAACAAAGACCCCAGAAAAACAAATCAAAAAAAATCTCCCACCAAGTAGTAAAATACATTCAGGTAACAATACAGGCATCATAATGACATCACTCACTTATTGTTACTGAGCAATATATGCAATATATTATATTGTATGCAATAACATGTCTTCAAAAACGCTATTTTACTTTTAGCTATGCTACAGCAATTCCATTGCCCTTTGGAAAATGGTATCGGTGAGTGCATGAATCTCCTGTGAGAGCTCTAGATACAAGAGCCATGTATACAAGTCATCAATTATTTAAAAACCAGATTCAAACAGGATGGACAAATTTTAGGCAGCACTAATAGTACAGTGCTTTCATCCTCAAATGCTTTTATTGCTATGCAAAGCAAAAAGTCACCAGTCTTTCATTTACTGACAGGAAGCCAAAGCTAGCAAGGCAACTTTCAATAACAAAGTCAGTTTTCTTAGTTTTCATTTTTGCAACTTGTGCAACTGTGTTAATCACTTTACATTGCAAGTAGTTACTTAATGAGCCATGGAAAAACATCTTCCTGCAATTTTTCAAATGCCATCGAACACTTTAATTGTATGCTTCAATGACCACTTTCTTTGCTGGAAACTGTTCCCGTGTGATTTATGCTGAATATCTGTATTTCACATGACAGTAAGACCTGATGGGTGTGAAGCTCTCCAACTCAAACCTCATTTGATATGGTATTTCTATATCAGCACATATGCTTAGCCTGGTGACAAAATACACCTTAAAAGTAATTTGTGGTTGGTGTATTCTAAATAGAAAGATGGAGATGGGTGCATTGAGGTCATGTAACAGTGGCTCTAACTCATAAGCCACGAGTCTGGTGTGTGCACTACTGACACAGTCACTGTCCCCAGCCATCCAGTCCAACTCTCAGACAAAACACTGAGCTGCTCTCCAACACCAAGCACAGGATTTCACAGGCTGCATTACAAGCATCTAAGCAATCTGAGCAGCATGAAGAGTTGCCTCCTCTCAGTTCTAGATTCACTAAGAACCAAAGAAAGGCAGTTTAGGTTGGTCTGTAAAGGGAGCTCCTAAAGGATAAACTCTGAACATCATAGAAAAAACATAGAAATGGACAACCCTCCTCCTCATAATCTCTCAGTTTCCTACCTACATTTTTACTTCAAACTATGTCCCCATCAAAGAAAGAAAAGTTATCTTAGCAAGAAATATGAATTTACTGCAGATAACTGCTCCACTAATTTGTCATTGATACTTATTTCGGAAAAAATACAGTAAAAGAGAAGCATTCTTAATTTGAGAGACCATTTGACACACAGCACTTTTGTATCTGTCTCAGAAATACAAAATCTGGTCATTTCCTATGGATTAATAAATTTGTTTTTTATGCCACCCTGTAAACAGCACTGAAAGGACAGGCATATAATCCACTAAGAGCTTCTGTTCTGACATCTCTTCAAACACTGCATAGGGATGGAACCTGACCCTGATTGTTCCAAGAGTCTTTTCTGATAGCTTTTTCTACTAACAAAACCCCAAATGTAAAGAAACAGTCAAATTAATTTCCCTTTTCACTAATACAGTCCTTCAAAAGCATTGGATGACCTGTGTAACTCTGCTTTGAGAGCAAAAGTTGCTCAATGGGGACATTAAAAATCAATTAAAAAAATGTCATACAAAGTTCAAATAATTGTCATGTAGGTAGAATTGCTTAAAATCTTGTTTAAACTAATTTGAAGGGACCTTTAAAACTGACAAGAAGATTGACAGACTGGAATAAATTTAAGTGATGTTGTAACAGGATTACAATACCTACTTCACACCACTTGTGTTTCAGGTAAAAAGAATCAACTTCTCTTTTTTTATTCCCCCCAGAAGTTCAAGAATATTTCAATGCATTTCAAGATTCAAGTTCAGAAAAATAAATACTCTCAAACTGAAACAGTTCCCTGCCCCCATGAGTATTACCATTCATCAGTTTAATTACCTACTAAAATTTCTTTGTATTTGATTTTGTGTTCCTTTAGCAGGTAAGGGATTTAGTCATCTCTAGCTTGACCTAAAATGTGTTTCCATGTGTTAATAAAGTATTTGCTTCTGAAGGAATCATGGTGTTTTTTTCCTTAATTCTACTTATAACATTATCTGTCCTCAGGGAGCACATGCAATAACTGCACATTCTATGTGCTGAATTAATTTTCAGACATAATGATAGCTGTGATGCAGTTAAATCAAAAATGAAAAGTGAAATAAAGTGCAGTGAGCACAGTAAATAGGAACCTAATGATCAGCTAGAATGCTACATAAAGGAATGTATTTACTAGCACAGTGAGGATATCTCATATAAAATGCTCACTGTCTTACATTCATAGAGTCACAAATTTGGGACAGCACCTGGATAAAGAATCTTACGCTGCTTGACAAAACAAGCATCCTTCCAGAGAGTTATTCCAAGGATTTTGATGACAGAGCTGAAGCCCCACTTGGTGACCTTTGGGGACAGCAGCACAGTCTCCAGCACAGACCATCAGCTAGCTACATGCAGGGTTTGGCATCTCCCCTCCACCTAAACTCATGGGACCTACAGCCCCCCTACCTCCAAGGGCTGGAATCCTGTTTGGAGGGAAATACTGTAGCAGGGTTAGTTAGTGCCAGGCTTGGCATGAGACTTGAAAGCAGAGTTTTATTTCTCTGTAACAAGCTGGGCACCACCAAGCACCTTCGCAGAACTGCAGGGAGTTCATCAGACAAAGCAAAAACCCCCCAGCAAGGCAAGTCCACAGCACAAAGATTCTGTCAAACCACACTCTTAAGGAAGCCCACTCAACATGCTGCAGAAAAGCCCCACTCTGTCAGGTTACTCAGCTAAAAGAGCATAGGAGTTTGTACTGTGACTGTCTTACAGCTGGACATCCAGGAATATATCCCTGACTCTACATTCCACAACCCCGTCTTGGATCTACACATGATGCTTACCACAGTGCAGAGTCCTGAGCAGTTTCAATGACCCTGATTTTTAAAAGCAAGCCCAGGGGCTATGCACATCCTTTATGCACTGACAGCATGGATTCATTTTTATAGGGGCAGTACCACAGGCACAGCACAGGCTAGCTGATTTCTCCTTCCAGTAAATATATCACTGGCTTCCCTAGAAAAGCCCTCTCACCAGCTTCAGACTCTTTCAATCCACAGAAAGTAATATAAACAGGAGAAACTTCTTCACAACAAGAAATACATTGATCAAGCACATTGATCTAGGAGATTTAGAGAGGAAACAGGAAAAGACTTGAAACGTGCCATGTACAAGATGTTCAGCTCAGACACTCAGACATTTCAGATGCACTCTCTCAACACCTACACAGTAATCATTAGGTAGTCTAAAGTAATTACATTCAGGAAGGCAAATTCTATGTGCATTACAACATTAATTACACAAGTTAAGAAATTCCATTAATTCTCCCTTGGAAATAACAAAATCTGCACAAATTAGGTTCCAAACCACTATGAATATCTTTGAAAAAAATATCTACCACAGCAAAAACTACTTAAATATGCTCATGGCCTACATTTTTAAAAATGAAACATTTCCGAAGTTTAAATTTGCTTATTATTGAACTCCTGTTTGACTTTTGCTTCTTGTTGTATCTAGAAAATCAAAAGTAAATGGCTGTAGTTTGACTTGTTTACAACCACAGTGCTCTACCTTTTGTTTTGCGAAGTTCTGCACAGATTATCCACTTTCTGTTGGAATGCCAACATTCTTCTGTGGGGTGTTAACTACAAAGTGGGGTGGGATTTTTGGTTTGGTTTGGTTTTTTGTAATAAATCCAGTCTGAAGTTCTGTCCTTAAGGAAACTGATTGAACAGTTTGGATCAAGAATTCTGAACTTCCTATATTTGTTCAATGCTGATATAATTTGCCATCAGCTCAGGGTGCTTCTTGCTACATCACTGAGTTAATCTAATGTCTCAATGCTGCCAAAACCTTCAAGATCCTCATTCTTCTCTGCCTCCATTCACAAGCAAAGTCCCATTCCCTTCCTTGTGTCATGAAATACTATGGATCCTTTGGTGAATATTTTTGTACAGCTTTGTGAAATTAATTTGTGCAACAAATGATCCAAAGAAGCCTCCAGCAAGCATAGAAAATGTGGTGCACTGCACCAAGGGGGATATGACCTGCAACAAGCTCTTCATTTGACATTGCACGTGTTACTGTATGCAATTTTGCCATTAGATGGAAGTCTCTATTTCATAAAACCAACACTTTCTCTACAAATAACCAGATTGTCTAGATGCTTTTGTACATACAGAAAAAAGGCATCCTTTGTTACTTTCTGCAGCCAGAAAAATACACACTGTATTTTAAGTAGAAAGTATTTATAATACTAAGTTATGGTCTAACCAGATAGGACCAAAGAGGGGTTTTCAGTTTCAGAAGTGAAAAACAGTCTACAGCAAAAATCCTAAATCTTCAAGGCTCCCAAGAATGGAGCACAGCAGAAGCAGTCAAGGCTTGGGTAAATAAAAAGAGGGAGAAAATTTTCCATGTCCAGAAATAGGTCCATCTTTCTGAGTGCCTGCCTAAATCACAATTCTGTAATTACAGCAATTCTGCCCTTCAAAATGGAACATGCAAGAGCTGACCTTCTGAAAAAAAACAGGACAGAACTTCCACCATTCTCTTGTATATATGCACATACTGAGTTTTTAGAAAAAAAACAACCCCTTAAATGCTTTTTCCAGTTGTTAATGAGAATATAAACCCCTTTCTTCCCACCCTTCCCTTGTAAAATATGCTGTCTTAAATTCATATAACAAGACAACTTTTATCACAAATGGGGGTGCAGAGGGGTATGTTTACTCTCACAATCAGCATATTTATTTTTCAAAAGGGAAAATAAAATTACTGTTGATAAAGTAATACAAATAAAGCAATAAAATATCCATATACTCAGAGATGGAATTTTTTAGTAAGTCATTTAGCCTGTCAAACACAATGAACTGTGAAAAAGAATTATTGTGGGTAATCTCCCCCATCTAAATTATTTTTTTATAAAATTGGTCTTTTACAAGGAAATAGTACTTTACCTCCTATTAAGGATCAAATCATTGCCTGTTTCCCTTAGAATAAGGCTGGCCACAAATTAAAAGCTCAACATTCCTCCCAAGGCCAGTGACAGATGGAAATAAAGAAACAACATCCCTCTCACCCAAGCTTAATTCAAGTCCCAAATATTTCATAATTGTATCAACATTACCAAAAAACACACACTGTACAAAAAGTTATCATAAAATCTGATCAAGTTAGTTAGCTCAGAGACTCTTATCACACCCAAACTAAAAGAGTTAAGTTTATAAAACTTTAAAACCAGAACTTCACTCAAACCCTATAAATTTTATTTGTTAAATAGGTTAATAACATTCTTCATCTGCTAAAATAGAGCAGCTGCTCTTAGTATCCTCAAGTCACAATATCAATACCCACTCCCTCAATCTCAGCCTTAACACAGAGGGAAGAAAATGTTATTGTAAAATGAACACTTTAAAAAGCAGGACAAAGTAGTTATTAACTTCTTAATTTATGTTTTGGTTTTGTTGGTTTTTACCTGGTACACAAGAAAAACTTCTGGGTTTAGGTCCTATTTAAATATGACCACACATTATCTATCTCCATCCACTTCCTCCATATTTAAAGAAATACAAAAATATGATACATATTATTAAATCCTAGTCCACACATAATAGATTATTTTCCAGTGTAGAACATACAAAACATTGTATCAGCATCCTGAAGCCAGGCATATCAGTAGCACAAGTAAAAGTAAACAAGTTATTATTTGTTAAAAGTTTAAAAAAGCAATACAGGCCAATTTCCAACTCTTTAATTTAATTTCTGCTTTATATAAGTTGGTTGTTTACCTGCTAATGGCTTGTTCCTCATCTGTTATTCCAGTCTCCCTGAATGCCCTGTTTGACTCCTCCAAACTCAAGGCAATTGCCCTCTGAAGATCATCTTTATCATCTCCAGTGAGATCAATCACATCTGAAAAGCAAAACTATCTTTCTCAAAATTAAAAGTGAAACAGAATGAAAGGTAAATCTTACTGTAGAGGAGAGAGCCCACGTGGATTGCTCAGCACCATTCCAGTCCATCCCTCCTGTGCCCTACACTCTTGCGACCACTAACCCTGCTAACATCTCCCTTCTGCCACCAAGCCAGATAAAAACCTCAGCAGCTCACTCCTGACATGATGGGCTGTAGTTCCCCTTGCTCCTAATGTTCTTAAGTTTCACAAAGCTATGGGACAAATTTAGGAATACATGTTTTCTGAAAGCCTTCCTAAAGTAATACACTAAAATGCATTACTTCAGCTACTGGGATCAGTTGTTTAGGGAACACAAGATGAAGAGGACCTTACTTTAAAAGGATACCTTAATTGAGCAGAATTATTTTTTCTCCTCATGAAGGAACATGTAACATTGTTTTCCCAACACAGCCCCAAATTCTACAAGTATTTTTGTACCCTGGTAAGCCAAATACTTTCACACAGTTTCATAACAAGTGGAACAGTTCCTAACTCAACCTAATTATTTTCTATCCCGTTTGTGCATTCCTCTTCTGAACATATTTAAACTCAATTTCATCTACTGAAAGTATCACATCTCAACATGAAAAAAACAAATACTGGAGACAGAATGAGGATCCATATTTGGGTAAGTGGGGAATTCTGGATGGACTACTGACTGAAAGCAGCTCTACTTCTGCCTTCTTCATCAGCTCTTATTCTACAAAGGATCAAAAACTGATATCCCCTATAAACTTCCTTATTTCCTGAGGTCAGCAACAACACCCCTGCTCCTAATCCAGGTGGGATCCTACCACACACCACAACACAAATCATGTCCCCAGCAGACACAGCCAAGCTTTTAGAGCAGCTAGAGCCGACAGGAATGTCCATCAGCTGCACAAGACCTTCACTGGTTATCACCAGGTCACTGGTTATCACCATGTCACTGGTTATCACCATTTCAAGGGTCAGAAGTCTCATTTCCCAAGTGAGACAAACAGAAAGAAAGGAAAAGTGCACAAGGGACTTTTGCATGCAGTATCAGACAGACACGCACAAGGAGCATTGGCTGGTTTGAGTCTCCCTCTTCCAAGGCAAAGTTTACACAACGAGTTATGAAAGGGATTTGTCTCCAGCCTGGGGTTTGGCCATTAGAAGCTGAAAGGTTTTGGGAGAAAGAGATACGGATCTGAAACTGGCAATTGCTCACAAAGTGAGACAAGAGGCTAGTCAGCATTTCTCCTCCCACAGGCCAACCCAATTACTCCAAAGAGCTTCTCTGCCTATGTCCTGACTTCTCTCCTGTGTGGGCTGATCCACTGTCGACTTGTAGCTTTCCCTATTCCCTTGGGCTTTCTTTTTTGGATGTTTCTCATTGGATCAGAACAAAACACTAAACTTAGTATAGAAAAATCATCACCATAGTCATGCAGGAACAGAAAATAGGATGACCTGTCCTTACAGCAAAAAGCTGAAATCAGAAAGAAGTTGTAAAGAAACTTTTCTGTTAACACAAGCATCTTCAAAACCTACTTTTAAACTCAGTCCTGTTTTCTCCAAATAATGGTTGAACTTCTATTATATTTTGTGGGTCTTTAAAGGGGGTACCCTTACCTGCAGAGTATACTGGGCAATCTGTCATGACCAAGAAGTATGGAAAAACACTACTGCTGTAAAAGCAGCATTTCCAAACTTTATTCTTAGGCCTTCTATAGTCAGGTCAGATCTTCCAGCATAACAGAAGGTACCTCTGAAATTCTCCTTCAGAAGTACTAAAGCAATTACAACCACCAACAGTAGAAGTCTCCCCCAGAGAAGTTTTGATAAATATGCTGCCATGCTGAGAACAACATACTTTGGGCAAAAATACCACCTCAGCCCTGGGTCACATACAAACCTGGCACTGTCCTGCAGCCTGAGAGCAGAAGGAGACAAGAAAGGCTGACAAATGAGAGGGTCCCCTCACCACACATGCACTACCTATTATGCTCTAAAATGCGTGCTTGTGTTGTATTTTCTGCACATTTACAAGGAGCCACACACAGCACCTCATCCTCCCTGGAGCCAAGCTCTGTATCTCAAAGTAGGAATGGTGGTCACAACCCAGCAGCCACACACTGATGGACAAGGATGGGATTGCTCTGGTCACTTCCTTACAGAGAGGAATGTTCCTTGAGCAAGTCTCTAGTCAGGTAAGAGTGATGACATTTTACATGACAATATAGAAACTTAGATTAAGAAGTTAGCTTCTCTATAAGGGGACTATTCTCTAGAAAAGAACTCTTTATGTAGGTGAAAATGATGTATTTGACCTCCCCCATTATACAAAAATCTACCTGGATCAACTCCAACTCACACTTCCATTAAAATATTCCATTTCTTTGCAACTCCTTAGCTCTCTAATTTTTATTAATCTATACCACCACCTTATGTGTTTATTACCATTCATATTACCAGAGACTACATAATTTTAATATTAAAACCCCAAATCTTTTACTTCCCAAAAGCAGATGAGCCGAAAGAGTTTGTTTTGGCATGTAAGAGTTTTGGAGCAGACACCATAGGATTCTCTTTAGAAATGTTCTATCCATACATTGCTCCTGCTCTGCATGAAAAAGACAACAGAGTGAAGACACACTCCCAGATATTACCATTGCATGTATGTGGTGCAATCAGTTCACATCAAAGGGTTTACCTAGCATAATTTATCTCAAAAAATACATTTATAAATATCACCTCATCCATGGTAACCTATTTCATGCAAGCTTTTAGTTCATAGCAGATGTAAAATAAAAATGGTTTTGACATTTAAGCTAATGTCTTTACAGCTGACACAGTAATTCATTAAGCTGCAACACCTCATACAACTTGAATCCTAAATAATAAGATGATAAAGACTTCAATAGAAGTCACAAAAGAAGGGTAAGTCTGAGATTAAACTCTTTGTTCTAAAAACCAAAATAAATTTCTTTATATATATATAACCTTATCTCCACATTTTGCATTCTGTCAGATGGGTATACATTACACAAAAGTACATATAATACATTAAATTAGTTTTCTTTTTTTCTTGTTTTTGTTTTAAAATTTCTTCATGTTTTATAAATTCTTGCATTGGAATGTTAATGTTGCAGCCGTTAGTAGTAGAACTCATTAATGAAACTGTGCTGCTGAACTTTCCTATCTGACCAACTCTGTTTTAAGTATGAGTTTGAAGAAAAACAAAAAAGATTACTTTTACTCAAAGTTTTTATCAGACACAAGTTTTTTCTGTGATAGGCTGAAGGATGCATTCCATGAAGGTGTAAGAATAATGCTACTTGTCCAAATTTATTTATGTGACTTTAATTTACAAACGCCAGTTTTATATTACTCCCCTCATTTAGCCCACAGAACATTTCAATTCTCATTGGCTCATCTTCGTAAAGGTACTTGTTACTTTAATGTCAAATAGCCTTAGAAAATGCAAACATTCTTAACCAGGCCATGACTAGTGAATAAAGTTTGCTTATGAAAAAATTCTCCATAAGTGAAGAAACTTATCAACACAGTCTGGTTTAGTGCATGTGAGTTTATTCACTGAAAACTAACATTCATAATTAATCATCTGTTTTACTAAGAAATGTATTCTTGGTTTACAACATTATTATTATTATATAATGTGTCCTTCTAATACATAAGATTCAGAGAGTTTTACATTGTTTGTAATTCTACAAAACAATTTTAAGTTGTATTGAAAATACTAGTGTATGCGTAATGAATGCACACACTATATCGATCTATTCCCATAGATCTTTCTTTTTTTAAAAATATCTTATTCATCTGCCTACTTAGGAAATTTCTATCATCATTTAAATAAATGGTTCTTACTTGGTTATAGACTAGGTCATTAAAATAATTACTGTGCTGTTGACTTATACAAGGAGGAGGCAGAGAGTAGGAACTTCAGACTTAAGTAGGCTGGGAAACTCAGCATGAGAGACAGATCAGAAGTAGCAATTGAACTCGGGGACAGGCAATAAACATCCACAGTGATGCAACAACTGGAACAGGAAAAAAAATGAAGGGGCAGTCTTGATGGGGTCAACAGAGTAGTGCCAAGCATGAAAATCCAGCAGCAACATTCCAATTTCAACACATCAAAAATATAAATATTTTTTAAAGGGAGTTGAGACTACGTCTGGTTTATTTATTACAAGCAGAGCTAAGCAAGATCCTACATGCTACCACCTATTCTATGACATTAAATTCACAGTGGTCTCAGGCTCCTAAGGTGAAGATTTAAAGGAATTTAGGTGACTGTATATGCCAATTTTGGTTAAAAATGGATGGAGGGAGAGCACCCAGTAGCCCTGCAGCAATTCAGCCAACTCAAACTGCTGTACTGGTGCAAGAGCTTGTAAATATTGGCCATCACTATCCCACAGCTTCCTCATCTCAGCTGTATTTACAAACATCCTACAATTATAACACCTGAAACCGATCACTCTCACACTGATGGGGAATGAGAGAGGTAATCATGACACACAGCAACAAGTGAATCTGTAAGATGAAAAGAGGACCTTAAGGTACTATACTCCTGACATTTTGAAGCAGGGACCTTGACACACGAAGCTGTCAGAACTGCCAGGAACCTGGATGGAGATGACACAAGTAATCCTTGAAATAGAAGGAAATGTCATGAAAACACATAGTGATGGCTGAGTTAGGCAAGGTGGCAGAAGAAGGCGCTGTCAAATTCTACTCACAGAAACAATAAATGAACAGCTAGAGAATGAGGACTGACTAGGACTTGTGCCAAGAAGGATCCAGGAGCTGCAGCCGACTCATGTTCAATCTGCAATTCACATCATCACAGCACTGAAGAAAATAGGAAGTGTTACACTTCTGTCAGAGTACTATGTGGATATTTATAGAGATTCACCTATTTTTCTTAAGAACTAAGCTGATGTCTTCATTATAGTTTCGAGTGCCACAGCTCAGGAAAAAAACATACTAAAGAAGGCCTAAATGAGAAGAAAAGAAAATGACAATAGGTACAGGAAATGCATCCAAATACTTGAAAGGAATTTAGGCTGTTTCATTTAGCTCTGAGAGAAGTCTTTGGATAGACTGTCTTCAAGCACGCAACACATCATCTGAGATAAAAGGAATATCATTTTCCTGTGCTATAATTTCCACAGGGGCACACAAGGAGTAAAGGACTTAACCTGAAGTAAAAGGGATTTCGGCAAGACACTAGGAGTCTAAAAGTAGGGACAGTGAAGCTCCAAAAGAAATTACCCTATAAACTTTTCATGGTCTCTAGAATGAAACAGTAAGAAATGTTTCGTAAACACCACTTCAAGAAGGATTTAGGTATCATTGAGCCTAACTCTACCTTACTGGAAAGGGCTGTATGACTTTTGAGACATATGCAAAGGCTCAAAGTAAGAACAGGAAGATATAAAAAGCCAGAACCCATGAAGTCTACAATCCTCGAATTGCTGTGTGTGGCATTTCATAGTGACTGTAATATGCCCTTATAAAAGGGCTTGAAGTCTTTTGTTTTGCTATGGAATGTGCTGTTGCAAAGACTAATAATTCAGTTTTAATAAAAAATAACTGTATTTCCAAAAGAAGGGAAGGAGAGAATTTGTCCTGACAGCTGTTTCATTGGAACACAATACAACTTCCAAAGTATATCTCTTCACTCAGTTCCTTCCTTTAACCCTGGGTGATTCAAGTTCCTTCAATAAGAAGAAAATGGATACATTCTTAGCAATCCAACAGTTCTGTTGTGCAGCCATAGATGAAAATACAATAAATTACTTCAAATAGGAATAAAAAGGTTTCTAGAGAAATATAAAAGTGAAAATATTTTGAAGTACCACTAAACTTTTGTTTTTCTTTAAGTACAATGCCTAGAATTTCCTCTACCAAGTGGAATATTGAAATTACCTTGGACTAAAAAGTGTGCACCTGTACATTGAAATCCTAATGCTTAAGCAATTTCCCCTCATAGAGTGCAAGAAGGAAAAGAAAGTCAAAATGTTAAAACCACCTTTGCAAAAGGATTAGATTAAGCTTACATCACTTTTGATGTGAAAATACTACATTTGCAGGTGCCTGCACATGCCATTTTGAACAGACAAAAAGGCAAGCATCGTGAGTAACACTGACTGTGCAAGTCAGGCTTTGTTTAACAGATGGAGCAGGTTTAATGAAAACCTATTATTTTTTTGCAGCTGCTGAAATGTTGCGTTTGGTAATAACAAAAAACAGGTTTCCTTATACCTCCCTACCATCCAGGATGAAACTCTCAAACCACTTAATGACCACTGTCACTTTTGGAAGAGCCACTTCACAAGTCTGGCTGTTATGCTACACAGTAACATTTCATTTTACCCTTTTAACTAAGTAACCATGTCAAAGAAATGTAGTCAATCAAGCTCACATCTGATACATCTTTATGCAAGGAATACATTCAATTGCCTTTGTAAATGGCTGGAGGTTTTCTGTGGCATAAAAGACAGCTCTGGTATTTATCTGTGACTCTCTCATTCCCAGTTTGGGTGCTTTAACTTGGTGGGACCACAAAGCTCAGTGACTCTTAACATCCCCAGTTCCAAATGCACAGAGGTAGTTAAGCAGTAAGGAACAGTAATGGTGAGTTTTAATAAATAAATGTAATTATACCTATGTGGGATAATAAAGGGAGTCAAATTTGAGAGACAAGATCCTGTCAGCAACTCAGCATAGCCACTGAGAATGGCTAATATATGTTCTTTTGCAGAAGGGAGTGCTGATGGTCAAAGCCATCTGCTGAAGATTTGCCACCCTGTGCCCACCCTTCCATTCTCTCCTCACAAGCCACTGCGCTTTCACACCCCCTTACACGACAGTGTTTACTAACACAGGGCCCAGAGACTTGGCCTTTTTGGTGCACTGCATTTTTTAAATCTAGGATCCAAATAATTACAGGCCAGCATATTACAAGGAAAGTGTAGTTTTTTTTCCACAAGCATTCACTAGATCACTACAGGAGCTTGTGGGGAGCTCCATGGTCACACTGGTTTTGGCTTTTGTTCTGCTGTAGGTGTTCAGTTCTTGCCTTGTAAGTCCTCCAATATGATGAAAAGCTCACAAAGATACCTTTGTGAACTTTTCTTTAGATTGATGAAAAGTGTGTTTTCAGTCTAACTAAAACAGCAAAGATTGGATAGGGACTCTCATCTTTGTTGCCAGTGATGACCAGACCAGATATTAAAGATGTTAAAAAAAAAAATTTAAAAGCCTGCTTTTCCCGCAGCAGTTGGTGTTTCTTGATCACTGACTTGTTGTGCTATATAACTGTAAGGAATCTGCCTTCAGCCCTCCAGAAAAGAGAAGAGAATCCTGAAATTCACCTTGGAATGTGCAACTCAAGGGCTACCCTTCTCAGTTTGACCATCTACTATGGGTAACATGGGCTCTTGTAGATGTGATTCATATCCCTTGTCACCTCATTTCTTCAGTAAGGTTGTACAGCACATTAACTGACAGCAAAACTAAACACTTCTATTAATGGGATTGCTATTAAATCTAATTAAACACAGACTCCAAGAGAATCCAGCTTACTATTCCACTGCCATAGTAGGTTGTCTAATAGTATTAGAAATTATGACATAGCAGTGAATTTGCTCTTAATAGCCTTCACTTCCTCAATGGCAATTTTCTGATACTGAAAATTAAACACGAGGGGAAGGCTGTGTTTGTTTTCTTTCCAAAGAAGTGAAAAAAAAATACACAAAAAAACCCCAAGCCACCCACCACAACTTATTGCATGGATAACACAAATACCTATAATCTACTCAGGACATTTTATAGAGGGTTGCTAGTAATACCAAGGATTTAAATGCAGTTTTCAGATCAGACATGCTGAGAATAAACTCATCTCTAATTTAAAAAAAAAAAGTTTAAAAAGTTCATGTTAAGGTTCTACAGACAAAAGATAACTGTACAATTGATAAGGAGATCTAACTAAACTTCTTTATATTGAAGTAACCATGAGCAAAACAAAGGGGAAGAAAATCCTACTGCAGGAGGCACTAAGTAGTAATCCTGGTACTAATAAGTAATCCTACTTGTCTAACAAATTCTACATAGATGTACTACATATATGGCCGAAGAACTGATATATAATTATTCTCCATTTGCATTGCAAATGGTGTAAAGTTACTATAGCAACAAGAAACTCAGATTTTACAAATATCAATCCTACTACAAAACTTCCTTTGACTTTTTCTTCTATGTTATTTCCTGTATTTATTTGCAGAATACTTTTTTTTTTCTCCCCATAAAAATACTATACACTAAAGCAGAGGATTAGAACCTCCAAGACTTAGAGAAATGCAGGTTGTGGGACTTCCTCTATCAACAAAATGAAATTGTTTAATATCAGGTGTATTTAATGCTAATTTCATATATAAAATACCTACTCTTTTAGTATAATATTCACACTTAGCTCCCACTTCTCCCTTTGGGAAAGTCATTCCTGTCAAGGGCGAGCTACTCTTAAGAATATTAAGCTTTAGAATATTAAGACAAACAATGACAGACTTCTCCAATTTTGTTTTGACACAGGAGTACCTAGCTTTTGCCTTTTATTTACTGCATGACCCCAGAATAAAACCTGTAATATGGAGGAGGAAAAAAAAAGGTAAAAAATAGATGGAAAGCCCAGTTACTTGCCCTTTAATTAGTATAAAAAAAAAAAAAAAAAACAAAACCTAAAAAAAGCTCAAAATAAAAAAAAAAAAAAAAACCCAATAAAAAACAACAACACCCCCACAGAAATAAGAAAAGAGAATGCATAATAATCTAAGAATTGATATGTAAGAATTATCTGCAGATTAACAGTTATGTCACAGGGAAGGTTTTATTTCCCATTACTTTAAACTAAACTTGTGAAAAGAAAAAATACCTACTGGTGTCTGCCTGGCTGCCCACGCTGATGTATCTGTCATTCCCAGGAAGGGCTGTTTGGTAGTAAGTTGCCTCCTCTAGCTGGGGAACCTTGGCATTCTTTGCAGTGAGAAAAGCCACAGCCAGCTCCAGATTACCATTGCTGTCCTTTAAGCATAAAAAAAAAAAAAAAAAAAAAAAATCAAGTGAGAGTCCCCTCACTCTTAAATATTTCTTAAAAACAAAGGACATGATTAGCAACTTCAAATCAATAACCATTGTACTGTCAGGTAAAATACTGACTCAAAAAGAAAGTTTGCAAACTTGACATATCCTGCATATTTCACTACTGTTAACCAAAATAAAGATAAAGCATCTTATAAAAATTGTTTTGGTGGAGTTTCACTTATTTCAGGAAAGAAAAAAAGAAACGCCTTGTAGTGTAGGTCAACCTCCCAATAAATCAGCACATTCACTGGAGTCAGACTTCAAAAGAAGTCAGATGAATTCTTCTGAAAATAGAGAGTTTCATTTTTAAAGCCCGAGATCCTGGCTTTTGAAAAGCAGTTTTGCACATGACTTATGCTAACAACAACTACCTATTTTTTCATAGATATATTTTTTTATTTAAATTACTAAATCTTCATTTGCCATGTATAAATGGCAAAAAAAATCTGCTTGAGAGAAACAAAGCATTTTTAAATTTTTTTATATTTATTTATATCGCAACAGAACATAGAGAGATCTGTCATTTTTTACTTGCATCAAAGAACTCTTCTGTGCTGTGAAATAAATTACAGCAATTGAAAAAAAATATTGAAACAATACCAAATTAGCAAAGGTTGGCAAATTCAAGCAGTTCTTCATTCTACACAGTGAGCAAGGCCTGAGCATAGTAGAAAACAGCCACACCTTGACAAGAAAACACCACTTGGTTCCTCAGGAGCTGATCATCTGTAGTAGCACCAACAAATCCCAAAACATTTCACACAGAGGTTAAAGGCAAGTCATAACATTCCTGTCTTTTCATTTTGAGCACTTGATTATTTGTTAGGTCAGTACCAAAAGAGAACAAGATTCCATGCAAAGTGAACAAGCCACCATTATTAGCCTTTTTTCCCCCCCAAAATAAATTCAAGCAGGAAAAGGAAAGAAGGGAAGGAAGAGAAGGACAGAGCAAGAAAGTGTTGGATTTATGGCTTTCACAGGCAGTTAAATACATTCAGATTAATTCAGCTACAAGTCAGTTATCTTACCTTCAGTGCCTTTTGTAGTACCTGGATGTCATTGATACCAGTGATCTCCCTCAGCTGATTTAAAAATGTTTGCTGGTGCTAAAAAAAAAAAAAAAAACAAAACAAATCATCAAAATATGATTAGAGCCAAGTAACAGCAAAACCAAGTCTTAACAGAGAGAGTACACTCCTCCACAAATGTTAAAGGCATCTCCGTATGAGGTTGATGCACCACAAATTGGTGGTGCATTACTCGAGTTTGTCTTAGTTTCTGGAATTTGGGCACTTTTTTGGGAATCATTAATTCCCAAATGTTATGATTTTGCATTTTGGTGTGTTTGCTTGATTTTGGATTTTTTTAAACAAAAAAAAATGGGCAAGTTTATGCAACATGGGTTTAAGAAGCCTATATAAAGCCACAATTGGCCCTTCTAAACAAATAAAACTCCACAGCTTTGGTCTCCAGTGGGGGTAGTGAAAACAGCTGACTGAACACACACCAAAACCAACTTCTTTAACTCCCAGTTATTCTCAACCCCATTATTGCATTAAAATAAACAAGTCCTTGTCATTCCAAACACAAAACTTGGAAATTCAACTTTGCTGACCACTGAGGTGTTTTAAGAGAAATAGTATAAAAACTCCAAACAAAGTAAGTTTCTTAATGCTTAAACAGAACTTTAGGAATCCATCCAAACCCCCTTCCTAGACCAGTTCCAAATCCTAGACCTTCCAACTCTCCCAAATCACATAAGTCAGCACCCATGACTGAGTTTAAAACATTTGCAATTAGAAAAAGAACAAGAGGTTCTGGGTCTCTTAAATATTCACTCCATAAGAATTTCAAGGCTTTGTTTTGTTTTACTTAAATGAAAATCTGGTCCCACCCCTGTTTAGAGCCAACAGATGATTCACTCTGGTCATGCTCAGCTATCCCATCACAGAAGCAAAAAGCAGGCACTAAGCTGGAACAATCCTTGAACTCTGTTAACCATTGAAAGCATCTTAACATTAAAACCATGAAAAACAGAGCACTGACCATTGTTCCATACTAACAAATTCAATTGCTTCTTTGGCAGATGGGAAATAGAGAAAAAATATTTGCAAATTGTTTTCTTTTTTATTCCTTGCCAACCACATCCTGAACTCAAAACAGTAATTTTGTCTATGAAAGAAATTTTTTGTAAAGTGCAGGGTTTTGTTCGCATGACAAAAAGCATATTTCCTATCAGGAACAAATAAACATTCTCCTGCTACTCTCCAAATTCATTTTAAAATAGCAACTATAATTGTCTTGCAGCTTCTTCTAAAAGATGTACTTTTGAGCTGAATTATCTGGAATCAAATATTCAAATACCCTTATTCTTCCCTTATCACTTTGTATAGAAGAGGAAATTAAGATCTGCATGAAAGCTGAATTCCCGAGTGAGAAATTAACCTGGCAGGCACTACTTCATGCCCTAATAAATTGAAATAGAAGGCGTATAGTTCAGGATGTTTATGAATTACATGCACAATCTTCCCTTCATTTATGATCCTAAGAGACACTGCTAACAATCCAATTTGCCTCTTTCTTTTTTTCTTTTCCTTTTAAAAACCCTTCTGTTGGCACAAGAAAAGTGAAGTGATGCAAGAAAACAAACTCCCACTCTATTCCTATCCCTCACCCCCTTGTTTGTTTACTCTGTGTATTTCATAGCACTGTACAAAGCCACAACTTGTTTCCCCTATAAAGTTGCTTTCCTGCTTCTAAGTCTGGCAAGAATCAAAAAAATTAGAGTATTGGGGTGGAAAAAAAATACAATGGCATTAAAATTGGCAACAGCAATTCAAGGGCATAGCAATAGAGTAGATTTCTTTTTTTATTTACCACCAACATGATGGTGAACAAAACAGAAAATACTTTCACTATAAATTATTACAACAACAAGTTATAACAGATTTCTGTATCTTCTGCAATATATACAACACTTGGAAAGGCTGATTGGAGGATATTCATCATTCACAGAGACTGGGAAAAGACAGAAGAGACAGTTTACTAACAAACAATCTCTTAGCAGTTCAAAATATTGGCTGTTAATTTATGAGCACAGCTGTGACTTATAAACTTAGACATCTGTAGTTTCTATCCACATTTCAGCATTCCAGTGTAAAAGCTGTGCTTCAAGGCCCCCTTCCCACGGACATACACATTTAATAAACTAGAACTGCACACAGAGATGGTTCTTTCTCATCAAGAGATGATTTAAATACCTAAGTAAAAATTTTTTTAAGGCCAAGAGTTGATTTTTTTAAGGCCAAGGTACTCAGCTCAAAATTTTCTAACTGGTAACTAAAAGAACAACATGGAAAATCCATAAGCACCATTGTTAGAAGTGGCAGGAATTAAGAGGAAAATTACCAGTTCTCCTGAACACCTTAAATGGAGCTTTGGGGCATTTGCCTGGTTTAGACATTACTGTTTCTTCAGCTAAATGTGGACAAATTGCCACTAATTTCTAATTGACTTACTTCAAATCATGCAGAAGTTGAAGAATGGACATATTCCCTTTCTAGGAGAAGTGTAATTGACATTATTTCTAACTGATCAACATGTTCTTTTAATACTTGCTAATAGACTAACAGATCTTCAGAAACAATTGTTAAACTGCATAAGGCAGCTAAAAACTCGACTGGTGGCCTTCTCTTCCACAAATTCACCATCTGCCCTCATCCTCACAAATCTGATGTAACTACATCCATCATCTTTACTGTACACTGACCTTTTCTGCAACTTGGATGTTTAACTTGTCATTAGTCTCCTTCACTATTATAATGACACTATGTTATCACCCATAAAACTGTATTAACTCAAGTAATTCTATTTATTTTCATTACAAGTGACAGAGCAGGCAACTGTCAAACCCGCTCCTCATTCATTATCAGAGGATGAGATTCAATTTTATTTTTGCTTTTCTTTTCACTTAAGACACTTATGAAACAATTGCAACCACATTCAGAGAGCCTGTATTACTGAATTCCTGATGTGATTTTATTTAGTGCATCTGTAATACTCTGCAAAGTCAAAATGGCTAAATTTCATTTGTTTTGAATAATATTCCTTTAGCTGTGGTTATTGTGGCATACAGAAAACTTAGGTTACTATTACCCATGACTGAAGCTTAGAGATCAACTTCTAGTGCAACTGCTAAACAGTTAAGTGTCTCTTCTGTATGGTAAGAAATATTTAATTCAATATTACAGAAAGACTTCTGCATAAGAAGCAAGCCACCCTCCTTACTCCTATTAATGCTCATACTGATTACATTTACCCTAAAAGCTCAAGAAGCTTCAGCTAACTTGAGCTGAAGTGACTGCAGCATACAGACCCTCAAATGTCTAAAAACACATAGATATATTAAACAGTTATAAAAGTAATTCACTCACAGGCTATAACCAAAAATACCCAAAAGAGCTCACCCTATGCTAAAACAAAGATAAAAAATGAAGGAGGCAGCAGACAAGTATTTACAAGTGTTTGAAGTACCTCTATCAATGTACACTCATTAAATCAGATCAATGAGGGAAGTTTCAGATCACAACTACTCCTAATATAAAAAAGCTGCCGTATTTTTTCAATGCAGGCCTTTCATGATTCCCTATTTTTTCCAACCCTGCCTCAGCAGAGGTTCAAATTCTAAATTATAACTCACTGTACTTTAATTCAGTTTAATAAGCAGCCTCTCTTTGCAAATGGAGACACAAACTCCAACAGAACCAGGTGCAACTACTGGTGCTAAGAAATCTACCTCCATTCTTTCAAATTTGCCCATACCCACTTCTGTTTGCCATCCTATGCTCAAATTTACACAACTGATTTGGTATCTTTTTTCTAGCAGAGATCCTCCAGTTTAGTGACTCAAAATTCCAGTAATATCTGCAGTGTTAGAACGTGTGTGCACCCCTGTCACACACACACATTCTCCATGAAGCCTGAAGAGCATCTGACTCAAAAGCACCCAGGACCTGATTTCTGAGACCAGACTGTGCTGGTAGAGCTGCTGCAGGGTACCCCAAGTCCTTGGCCACACAAAGGAGATGGTTCACTGATGATATGGCTGCTCTGGATCCAGCTGTTCACACTCCTCAGTCCCACAGCATCATGCAGCAGTCTGTTCCCTGGGGCTTTCATGCACAAGCTATTCCCAGCCTTTCCCTTTCCTCTGGCTCCCTGAGGTATGTAGGCACTTTGTATCTTCAAGCTTTCAGCTCTTGGAAGATTTTAACTAACAGGAAATTCTCCCATTTTCCTGGATGGAAGCCAAATTTGTGTATTAGGAATGCATGCCCTTATTTCCAAGTCTCTCCTTTTTCAGCCATCCCTCCTTTGCTCTCAGGAAATGCCTAATTAAGATTATCTGGTTTATAACCTCACACAATAGCATATTCAGTAGCTATGCCAGCACCACTGAAGCAGAAAAGGATATGCACTACTATCAGCTTAGCGAGATACTGTGCCCAAATTGGTTCCACAACAGCACTGTAAACTCTGATAACTTCCTACAATCAAACCAAAAAGCTAAATTACAAAAATGTGGTTTTTTTTGAACAAGGCAAGTCTAATAAACTAATACTGAATTACAGTGAAGATAAATTTGGGGGGAAATTAGCCACCTTTTGATCTGTTTATTTTTTCCTCTCTGTAGCTTCTGAAGAAGCACATGTAAACTTTGGCTTTATTCATGGCAACATCCAAATATTTGCATCTGCAACACAAGCACTTAAACTCAGAAGACAGAACAACCCTTTTCCATTTCCAAACACAGATAAAGTTCTATGTTCAGGAAGGAATGAGATGATCCAACCATTAGGAAGAGAAAAAAGGATCTATGGCCTCAATACACAGTTCACATTTCAATAGTACATAATGAAAATGCACTAGGGGCACCAAGCTGATTAGAAGTATGTAACATTTCTCCTGTGGGGAAAGGCTAAGAGAATTGGGATTGTTCAGCCTTTAACAGAGATGGCTTAGGGGTAACCTGCAGCCTTCCACCACATGACAGGAGCCTACAGGAAAAATGGAGAGAGATTATTTACAAGAGCCTGGAGTGACAAGA